AAGCGTCTTCAGAGCATCAATATAAATTCCTGCATGTTGGCCCCTGCCATCACAGTTTTTAAGGCTAAAGTCACCTGAAAAATATTTGCTGAACCATCGTTAACACTTACGAACGTTCAAAACATTTCCATAAACTTCTTTGATATTCTTTGTGGCTACAGAGGCGTTGTTTCCCTTGTTGTATTCAAACAGCGTTACATACCGAATGTGTGTCTCGTCGTGTGCCATCAATATAAAGAATTAGAGTATACTAAACATTACACATTATATAGGCTACACTAACGTGACGTTTAGGCGGTCCGTTTAACTATTATACGTGATGTACGTTTTTTGGGGGGTGGTTTATGAAAGTGTTCCAAAACGCGACATTAATTTCTTGACGACTTAATACTTCACATGTTGAAAATATAAACTTTTTTATCTTTTTCGGAAAAGTTTTAAATTTCTAGAAATAGCGTAATAAACTGTTCTCTGTTTACATTCAGGACCTTAAGGAGCGGTAAGTCTAGTCAGGTCATGGCCTGACCACTTTTTTATAGCATGTATAGCTACAGCTTATGTATTAAAACTTGATTCTTTAATTTCAATTACTTTGTGTGTATGCTGTATTTGTAGTTAAAATGGCTCAATATTCAATCTCATAGCATTAAATTATCAAAAATATTTTGTGGGTATGCTCCCAGATCCTATAGAAATGGTAATGTGGCAATAGTCTGACCATTTCAAAATAGCCTCCTACGGCAATAAGTCATTGTATATTCACTTTAATGACTTTCCGTATAAGCATGATCCAGACGAAATACAAATCACAAAAGCTACCATGTTTTAAAATCAGTATAAGCACACCTTGCTGCACAAACCTATGTAAGAGAAACATTTATTTGTGGACATTTTAGTGAAAGAGTTTTTTTTCTAAATACCTATAGGTTGTGTCTATAATATGTATATACATAAATGTTCAGTATATAGTTTTAATATTTTCTTATAGTTTTATATCTTATATTGACTTTTCTCTCAGAGTTGTAGTGGTGCACAAAGACACCTCCCTGGAATTTCAAAGAAAAAACGGGAAAGAAAAGGAGCAGGAGATCTAAGCCTTTTGGATACTATGCAGACTAAAAATATAAATCAGGATATGCAAGTAAGCAAAGTTGGGGTTGTGAGGTAATGTTTTCTCCAAAATAATTTCGTTAAAAAAGTGGTGAAAAAGAAGCCTCAAGCGTTTAGCGATTTTTTGAAATGTATTTGCACAATGTGCTGATTCACATTCAAATATTCTGAACAGAAAAGGTAATCAACACGTTATAAAGATTTTTTTTTTTACTTGCTTCATTACAATATTTATTCCACACATTTTTTATATTTCATAATGGTATAATTATTAGAAAACTATTGTTTGTCCTTAATGTATTAAGAATAATTACCAGACTGCAGTGCTTTAAAATAATCTTAATTGAGTATATTTTGCTAAGTGCGTGTGGTGATGAGTAGAAGTGTGCTTGTATGATTCAAGGGAAGAGTTACCTCTCTCTGAATCTCACTATATAGCTTGGGTTTTACATTCAATGAACATTTCTCAAGTGATCTTAACAGTTTACAAACTAAGATAATAACATCCCAAATCAATGATCACTTTACAGCAGAGTAAACATTATAATTTCATCCAGTAACTGGCTTATGTTATAGATCATTTTAATTTTTCATGGCACTGTCCTATAAACTAAAGCTTAGTACCTGACAAAGACCAAGATTTGTGTATATTTCAATAGCTTAGACTTAATTTATTCTTTAATTTCAAGTTCATTTTAAGCCTACTTGCATTCAGATGTTATTCGTGATTATTTAATGCTATTCAAACTCAATGTTTAAGATACAGAAACTTTATTAGTCCTAAATTTTGATGTTTTTGCCAGACTTACTTGTTGAAGGAGCTAAATTGTTTATTTAAGGATAGCGTGAAGACTTTATACACTGTAATAACATGGTCATTAAGAAACTCATTGATATAACTGGGTAATAGGTAAGTGTCACTAATCTTGTTTCAAGTAAGATCTAATTTAAATCTAAACAGCAAAAATACATGACAAGACCCGTTGTTCCTTAAGGTGCACGGCTTCCTTCGTTCCGCTACAATAATTATCATTTTCATCAGACTTCGGAGATATAAAAGAAAGAAACGTATAACTATGATATTATTATGGATATAACGTTTGGAATCTATCCACGTTACAGGTCAACGAATCAAAATAAATGTAGTTCTGGAGCCTAAAAAGTTCATACTTGTTTTGTCTGTCAGGACAATTAATAACTAACGTTATTCTTGAATGTTGATTCTAAAAGGTTTCAAACACTGTTGAATCGCTACTGATATGAACAGTAAATTTTCTAACATTTCCTGTCGCCTCAGGTTAAAATCGCGTTGGTTCATTTTACTCGGAACAAAAGTGGTATTTTTAGAGTTTTGTGTTTTTTTATTTCGCCTTCTATTATTGAAATCATACAGATTTTGAAAGTTTACATAGTCAGAACACAATATTGCAGGAATACTTTTGTAAAAACAAACTAGTTTTCACCTTCATCTTCCTTGACAAACCGTAGTAATAAAATCACTTAGAGTGGGAGTAATGTTTCTATACTTAAGCTATTACGTTTTTACCTTCATCTTCCTTGACAAACCGTAGTAATAAAATCAGTTAGAGTGGGAGTAATGTTTCTATACTTAAGCTATTACGTTTTTACCTTCATCTTTCTTGACAAACCATAGTAATAAAATCAGTTAGAGTGGGAGTAATGTTTCTATACTTAAGCTATTACGTTTTTACCTTCATCTTCCTTGACAAACCGTAGTAATAAAATCAGTTAGAGTGGAATTAATGTTTCTATACTTAAGCTATTACGTTTTCACCTTCATCTTCCTTGACAAACCGTAGTAATAAAATCAGTTAGAGTGGGAGTAATGTTTCTATACTTAAGCTATTACGTTTTTACCTTCTTCTATGTGTATAATAATAATAACGAAACATTGGAGCAGTTTGATTTCTATTTAAGCTAGTAAAGGTTTAATTTTTTCAATATTCTATGAACAACTTTGATAAAGTTACAATGATTATGATAGGCTTATATAAATAAGTATATATATAAAGTATTAGGTTTAATAAAATTTACTGTCGTGAGTCAGCAAGAATAGCATCATGCAACCTTTTCTACACCTGTGCAACGTTATTATTATCTGCGCTTCAGCGCTTGTAAAAGCTGAAATCAGTGTGCATACAACTGCAAGGATGATTATAAAGGTTTATACGAAACAGGTGCGGTTAATCACCCATGTATACCGTCATGAAAGTGGTTTGTTTATAGCTGGTCGTGCGCTCTCAGGGACGGTCTATGAATTTTTATTAGTATTGCCACACATGACTTCTGCTTTCTCAAGTAGAGCAACTGCTGATCACGCTCTGTGTACTAGGATGCAGTATAACGTTAAAACGTCCAAACTGACAACTTCCCTCGCTCATAGCCAATAAAGAAAGATCCAAGTATCCTATGATTAAACGCAGAATCCCAACGTAGTTTTTCGAAAACCGTAAAATAGAAATGACAACTGTTTGTGCAGAATATAATATGTTTATTAGGAATTTTCTACCTGTAAATATATATATGTGGTACTGCAATAGTGTATCCCGTCTAAGCTGGCGAAACATTCAAGTCTTTGAGGCCTAACAGAAACGGTCAAATCAACTTCACTGCAGATATATTTTATTCATATCCCTGTTAATTAGTCACTTACAGACCTATATTTTGTCCTCCATAAGTCACTGATCAGAAGGTATTTCGCTCAGTTCTAGAACTAATCAGTGTGAATATATGTCGGTACAAGAGCTATCATCAGACCAACAAAGTTACTTAAAAATGAAGAAGTCAGAAGTTTGTGACATAAAATATATTTTTCCTGATAACTTTGTGGTTTTCCAAAGACGTCAGCCTTCCCAGATAGGCAGATAAATCATAGCTCAATGAAAAGAGCTATATTTATCCTGAAAAAAAACAACAACAACAAAAACAATGTGTTAGTACACGAGTAATGGAAACCTGATTAAAAAAAAGTACATTTTGACATAGAAATTAACTGCCAGCTTGTCGACATGGAATGCGAAACATTGAAGATTGTCTCATTTATAAAATTGATTTTTATTAGCGCAAAGCTATATAATATGCTAGCTGCACTCTGTCCACCGTGGATAATCGAACCCCGGATTTTAGCATTGTAAGTCCGTAGACTTGCCGCTGACCTACAAGGGAACATGTATGAAAATGTTTATCAATTTGTTTTTTTTTGTTTTTTAAGTAGCTAACTGGGGATAAAGACACAGAACTATACAAGCCCAAATTGTTACGTTTTGAAATCAACCAATTAATTCTTTTGTTTTTATTCTATAAATATTAAGAAAATAAGGACACTGGACAATTTGACTTTACAGCTGTAGTTGAATATATGACGCCCTCTGGCGTGAATTTGAAATTTGAAATTAAAACCGAAACATGCTATCAATTTTACTGAAAAACATCTAACCTGGTTTGTGTGTTTTACAACCAAGGAAAAAACAACACAAACTAATGTTATATATTCTTAATTTAAGCTATATTTTGTACAGAAATGTACTGGTATATTAGACACTTTTAAAACTGCTTTGTATTTATAAAGAGTTATCGAAACCCCATAGGACCACGGTTGCAGTGTGGAAAAAAAATCACGGTCACGAGCATCATGAAGATTTCTTTAAATTCCCATAAAACCAGGATGCGGTGATATTTTAAACATCGGACACACTTGTTAGTTAGTCAAACAACTCAACAGAGAAAGGCGGGAATATGCAGCTGGATTTTCAATTACTTAATATTGGATAACTTTGTACTTTGTGTGTGTGTGTGTGTGTGTGTGTGTGTGTAGTTATTTG